ATTGTTATTGTTATTATTGTTATTGTTATTATTGTTATTGTTATTATTATTATTATTATTATTATTATTATTATTATTATTATTATTATTATTATTATTATTATTATTATTATTATTATTTATATATAGAACCCGTTTGGTAGCATAAAAATCGACTGATTTGGCTGATTCTGCTGAAATTTATGAAGTTCTGGCTGAAGTGGCTGCATTGACTGATTATGCTTATTTAAGAAAAATTTAGTTTTAAAATATATTTTATTAATAAAACCAAGAAAAAATTATATGTAAAAGTAGCTAAAATGGTTATCTACAGTAACTTCAGTCAATACAGTCAGAAAAGTAACTCCAGCCTTACTTTTTCTGCTTATTACACAATTCAGCGCGCGAAAGCAAAAATTACGTGTTTGGTGAAAAAGTTGGCTGATAAACCTGATAAGCCGAAAAACAGTGTTGCCAAACGGCCTCATAATATTATAGAAATTAAAAAAAAAGAAAAAAAATTATCCTTTTTTTCAAACTTTTCTTTCTTTATAAAATGTATTCCGTATGTATTTTCTTTAAGGATCATTCTTGGTGTCACGAAATGTACACAAAATGTGTAGATTGTCTATGTACATATGCAATTTGACATCAAGTTCTGTCTCTTTTTAAACTAATGTTCTTTCACATTCTCCCACTCCCAAACAGACTTTCATCCATTGATTGGTGAAAACGTTAGCCGGTCCTCGCTCTACGTTATCACTCCTCGCGCCCGCTATTCGGTGGCAGTCCCCGTAATTTACGGCGGCGGTGCAAATCCATATCCCTGCACCGTCTCCTTGGCCAATCGGCACCGGCGGTAGCCCCATCGATAACCGCCGCCCACCTCTTTCTCTCTAACAAGGATCTCCACAGTCAACGATTCTTAGGAGCTCAGACACACTTCAGAATTTGTCGAACTTCTGGTGCGTTAATGTTTTTTTCTTTCTTTCTTTATGTTCCTGTTTGGTACAGCATATCTGCAAAGCTATGGCGTTTTTTCAAATATCTTCAGATCATCAAGATATTTTGTGATTGTGAAAATGCAAGCCGAAAAAACTGCTGAAAACAACGCCATTATGTTATTCCTTCCCTGATTTCTGAGTTTATGTCTTCCTTAAACTACTGAAATACTCCATGGTACATTCCAGAGATTCTAGAAATTGGTTTGCTGATATATCGTTTCGATCTGCATTATTCCAACAATTTCAAAGAACAGAACGTGCGCAGGCGACCAAATATTCTGCTGGATAATTTTCCTGGTTTATAAAAAAATTACTTGTAATGGTAATTAAATATCTACCTTTCATTTTGAAAATGTTAATTATCCTGCGTAATACGGAGTAGTTGGAATTAAATTATAATTGATTCCTACTTCCGCTCAAAGTGAAGGCTAAAATGTTTTTGTGTTCCTCAGGGATCTAATTCCACCCAAGCGTTATTTTTGGTTGTGCAGAAAAGTTCAAAATGGGATAACATTGTTAGTTGTACTTGTTTTTCTTTATACAGGATTTAAAAGTTCGTCAGTGTTTCAATTTAATTTTATTGAGCCGGTATCATGGGTGCTGAAAGTGTGAATGAATCATGGTTTAGAAACTTCTGGAGAACTTCAAGGAAGAGCTCAGTATCAGAGCCTGAGAAGTCCATAGTCGGCATTTTAGCATTCGAAGTATCAGTAATGATGTCTAAGATTATTAACTTGTGGCACTTAATAGGTGACAGATCGATTGAGAGATTAAGAGAAGAAATTACAACTTCACTGGGTATTCAAAAACTAGTCTCTGAAGATGATGATTATCTCATGAATCTTGCCCTGACTGAGGTAATTAGCAATGTGGGGTGCGTAGCAAAATCAATAGCTAGGCTGGGAAAGAGGTGTACACACCCAGCATATCATGATCTTGAAAACATACTAGATGATCCGATCATGATGGATCTTAAATTTAGTGGGTGGGAATATAGGGTGAAGAAGATGGAAAGGAAGGTCAAGAAAATGGAGAGATTTATTGGTGCCACAATGCAGTTGACTCAAGAACTTGAAGTGCTTGCAGAGAATGAGCAAACTTTGAGACGGATGCAAGCTGGTCGTCCCCATTCCAATTCTGGTCATGTGAAATTAATCGAGTTTCAGCAGAAGGTCATTTGGCAGCGCCTGGAAGTTAAGAATCTGCAAGAAATGTCACCTTGGGTTAGATCCCATGACTACATTGTCCGGCTTCTACTCCGATCCATTTTCACAATTATTTCGAGAATCAAGTATGTTTTTGGGATAGAACATAACACAGGAGTTGCATCTACTAAAACTGAAGAAAGAAGTCACTGCGAGGATTTGAGAACCAACTCTCTAACCCGCAGCCGCTCTGTTTCTGGATCTATTTATCCATCTGAAACTAACATGTCCGCGTTCTATTCGGGACCTGTAGTTAGGTCACTGGAGAGGTCACTTTCAAGTAAGGGGCTTAGTAGTGTCAATAAAAACAAGATAAACAACCACAAGATATTACTTATCAGACAGTCATCGGTTTTCTGCGGGAAACCGTCACTGGTCAAAGCAAGACGGCTTGCTCCTGTTGCATCTTTTGGAGGGTGCATTAAGGCTGCTGGTAACGATTCACCTGTTATAGAAAGCTGCATGCCAATAAATGATCACCTTTTGGATTGTCGCCATGAATCAAAAGACAGATATGCCCTTGTTAGGGGTGTCATAAGGGGAACTAAAGTTTCTTTTTTCAATATGAAACATAAGATGTTAGCTGTACCCCCTTCAACTCTTGGTTATGCAGCCTTGGCTCTCCACTACGCAAATATTATCATAGTTATTGAGAAGTTGGCGGCTTCGCCTCACTTGATCAGTCCTGATGCTAGAGATGACCTGTATGGTATGTTACCAACTAGTATAAGAAACTCACTGAGGGCCAGGTTGAAGATATTCACAAAGACATTGGCTTCATCTGTTTATGATCCTTCACTAGCAGGAGGATGGGCTACAGCGGTTGGAAAAATAATAGAATGGCTATCTCCACTTGCTCATAGCACAGTCAGATGGCATTCTGAGAGAAACTTTGAGAAGCAACCAACAATTTCTGGGAGTAATGTGCTTCTTGTCCAGACCCTCTACTTCGCAAACCAAGCTAAGGCCGAAGCAGCAATTGTTGAACTTCTGATGGGTCTCAATTACCTTTCACGATTTGGTGAGGAAATATATTGCAGTATCAAAGCCATGGAGTCTTCTTGTAGTAGGGATTGTGATGACTATTTTCTCCACCAGGGCATTTCTCATTGTGCAATAAATATTGGCCCATAAGTGACTGCCTTATAAATGATGTCTGAATGATCTGTAGCTGGCAGACTGAATGCAAGGCATATCAGGATGAGGATGCACAGTGTTGTACTTATAACACATACCTGGGAAGAGAAGCTACTTCATCTATTCTTTTTTGTAACATTTACCTGTAAAGCCATGGAATCTTCTATCTTATAAACTGCTTTTTTTTTTGTAAATGTTTCTATAGAAAGCAGTACTAAAATTATCTCCTTTTATAAAATGCATAAGACATTATAAGACTACATTACTCATCTTTAATTCTCCAACCTTTTATACATTTTCAGTTATTATTATTTCATATTTTATCTTATTCATCTGAATCATCTCTCCGTCACATGAACACATAGGGACTTTTTACCCTTTTTCTATTAAGTCCTGTCTAAATTAGGACGTCTGTTTGAGTTAGAATGTCTGTCCGAATTAAGTGAAATTTGTATATGAGGCTGTTTATCTTATATGCTGAATAAACAGTCTGAATTGAGTAAAATGATCAATTTAGTACAAGTATTATTCTTAAATTATAATGTCAATGAAAAACTTTATTTATTAATAAAAATCTATTCCACAATCAATTCAAAAAAATTGATAGAAAAAATGTCTTAATAGATGTCTTAATCAGGACTGTTGTTCTCTAGCTTAATGATGAAGTTAGTTTTTTAACTGAATGATTAAGTCATTCTTCCAATTAAGTCGTGAGTAAACGTGACTTAACGGCTGAATGATTGAGTCGTCGTTGTCATTAAGTCTATTAAATCGATATTGAACAGCCCCATAGTTTTATGTACACCCTCTATTCTACAGTTTGCTTCTCACTTGTGAGTTAGATATGTTTATTTAGAATGTGAAGTTGTATGATTGTAGTTGATTCAAAAAGGTTAAACGGATGGGACATTGTAGTGAAGTAAACAAACGTAATGTAACCACATTAAGAAAATGGAAAGAAATTTTTGAAACATCCGAAAAATGTGATGGAAATTATGGGACATAGAGAATATTATTTAACAGCGCTTTATATCCTTTATAAATTGTGACGCACTCTGTGCTTTGTTTTTATTGTTTGGAGATGAAAACTGCCTTTTCCTCATTACACATATTAGTATGGATTTTGACCAAATGGCTTTATTCATATAAAATAATTTCATACTAATTCCATATTAGTGATATCTAGAATCCTATATGCACCTGAACAAGGCATGTTCTACTTGCACAGTTACACCATAAGTACATATGCCTAAGAGCATTCATTTCCATAAAATGTCATTAACTGATTGACATAACACGTTTGCCTAAAACATTTTAAGCCACCAATCTGCCTCAACTTTTGTGGAGGGATCACTTTGTTCATCTTCCCGACATTCATATTCCTAGAAAGCCATTCCTAACAGTCATTTTAGATCTCTTGGCTACATTCTTGTACACTTTCAACATGGCCATGAAGGCTCCTTCTTTGCCACCGAAACCTCATTTTGAATTTATCCAAATTTCAATCATTTACATGTGTTTTCTTTTCTTCACCTTTTGGAGATTTGGCACTAATTCTTCAGTAAAGATCACAACAACAATAATTGTATCTGGTTAAAATTAGGGCCAAGTTAATATCCTGAAGTAGTTCATAAATAATTTCAATGTAAATAAATAATTGTTTACCATACAATGTCTGGTAAATAGTATATGTATAAATATAAGGTTAGAATATATGGAGTACTATGTCTATTATTCACACATACGTTTGTATTATTCACACATATGTATGTATGTCACACAATTTCTAATAATTGTTATACGTAGTAATTGTAGAACTAGGGTTAGGGACCTCTCCCTAGTTTTTTTTTTGAGGTTTCTACCTATGAAAACATTACACTGCTTCACGATGTACAGTAACAAATTAACTAATTATGCTAATGACATAATACAGCACCAGGAACACTGAATGCCCCGCGCTCCCCGGAAGCTGGAGCACTAAAGTTTATCCAAGAGAAAACAGTATTTTCCACCTTGTTTTCTCAAAAATGTGGATGGCTAGTACATGCCATAGGTTCTCAATGATCCCGTGAGATAGAGCTTGATAAGCTTGTTTTGCTGCAACACGGTGCGCTTCAAGAATAGTCTCATCATCAAGGAGCTCTCTCAGAACTTCTACAAGGCCATCTTCAGAAATCTACAAAATAAATAGTATTACAGCTATATGTCAACCTGACAAAATATTCAGAAAATCCAAAATGATTCAATAGCATGCTTGAAGACGCAGATCATAGTACAGAGAGATAACAAGAGGATTACAAACCTGCCGAACTGATAAAGGATTAAGCTGTTGCATCTCCTTTGCCATGTTTAAGAAGTGCCCAATGTAAGGGCCTGTTGCATCACGAGTAAGAAAATAAGATATTCATTTAAAGCATGTTCAATAATATCATGTACAAAATGACATTACTCGAGTTAGCTTGTAAATACACCTGAAGATTACCTGTCAGAGTAGCGCATCCTGCTGCTGCTGCTTCTGAAATGTTATGACCAGTCAAACCAGGTATAAAAGAACCCCCAACTACAGCTATTGGGGTTAGTGTGTAGAACATTCTGAGTTCACCTGAAGATCACAATAACAAAACACATATTAATAATATTGCAGATTATTATGAAGTCAATTGAGCTTCTTAAAATTTAAAAGCAAAAAAGTGACAGATTATCTTTTCAAAACATGCTTGTACAAGAACCATCTCAAACTATAGACATGTCCAACGGTAGTAAGTTAACACTCATATTGAGACTTGGGAGAAACAATTGAGCCACTGAAGTCTGAAGGTCAAATTATTATGTCATATTTATTGATATAAAATGGTTGTTCCCAGTGCAGAGTTTGGGATGGTCTCATGGTCCCATTCAGTGGCGGACGGTGTATTGTTCAAGGGTGTTCACCTGAACACCCAGAACTTTCCACCGTTTAGTACTATGTAGTATACTCAGCCAGTCATATCCCAAGGTAGAAGTCCAAACCTGCGTTTCCGATCTTCCGAAATTGTGTTTGGCATTTAATTTAGTTTTGGCAATTGTCAGTTCATTCGCAAGTGGTACTTTAGTATTTAATTTAGTATTGGCAATTGTCAGTTCATTCCACGATCTAGCGCTTTGGTCTAAACAGTGGTACTAGCTAGTGCAGTACCGAAATTGTGTTTGGCATTCAATTTAGTACATTTTTTGATAGGATGATTTTTGATGAATTAGTTTGTAATAATTAACATTGAGTATGATTATTGCAATTGTTTTAATTTTAACTTAGGTCCGAACACCCAAAATGTAAAGCCTAGATCCGCCACTGGTCCCATTGTACATTTGTAGACAGCCTTATCCTATATTTGTCTATTTTCAGTATTTGAACACGTGATCAAGCAGATTACAAGTATGGACTTAGCTATTTTGTAACCCGATATCAATGTTATTTCTTGATATTTTAAAGAAAATTCCTAATAAATATACATAAATATCAGAACAAAAGAAAGAAAAATGAGACTAATTATTTTCCTGAAAGGAGGTGAGAACATATGAGACTTGAAGATTGCATAACCAAAGTTATTCAGGTTAAATATAATTACATTACATACCTAAAGTGTCAACCAAGTAAATGTTTGTTTCTGGCATAATTTTATCATTACGGGACCTTAAGGCTACACTCAAGTGTTCTTTCTGCAACCCCTGCATGATATCAAGGAGGAAATATCAAATCTTATTTTTCAAGTCAACAATAAATGCGCCCAATCAAGAGATGCCACAGCAAATAAGTTTATGGTATGTCGGAATAAATAAATATATATAAAAATAAAAGATGATTTAATAAATCCCTTCTATATCAACTCCAAAAAATCAAATCAACCGCGAAACAATTACAGAAGAATCATCACCAGTTTTATGCACACACGCATGTAAGTTTAAATATACATATTCTCATCCAAGAGCCAACTCTACATGCATCACATGAAAATCATACCAAATAAATTTCTTTCCCGTGCTGTGGATGCCGAGGCACAATGATAGTCAATATATCAGGATATACTTGCTTAAGCTCTTTGTGGACTTCTATCATGACTGCAGATAAACAATGACAGGATTTCAAACATCACTAAGCATAGTTAGTTGGTTATTTATTATGATGAAACTGCACAAAATTAAGAAAAGATAATAATTGCAAAACCTCAACCTACTTTCCTAGTTTCTGCTTTTTCCAGCAAACCCTTCCCTCAAACAGAGAAGCCAGAAAGTTGACTTCAAATTTGTCACAAAGGAAAATGAGAAAGAAGTGGTGTAATACTTTACTATGTAAAAGAACATTCTTATCTTGGTTCCAGTCTTATTCAATGTCTACTGCTTAGAGTCTACTTTAGGGGTGGGGTGGATGAGGGGAAGGCTAGGAGAAATATAAAGCACTGAGGCTTTGTCATCTCCAGAAAATGTAGTTCATAACGCGAGATTCAAAAAACAGCAATTGGTTCCACTCGTATAATACTCTATAATACCATTTATACCTTCTTCTTCACCTTTGTGAATGGACGAAGCCAGCCACATCTTTCGCTCAGCAAGCTGTAGCTTCAAATCATTCAATACACTATGGTGTCTTTCAACTGTTTCAAAGTTCTCTACAGCTAAAGCGCACATAATCCATTATTTAGTACCTCCTCCATTGCAAAATATATGAGAGCAAAAGACGTCTTTGTAGTGCAACTTTCACTGAAAACATATAAGATGTGACACTTTTCCCTAACATATGAAAGTATTCTTCGAAGTTCAAAAAGAGGACACAATAATATCAGTTTAACAACTTTTTAAAATGAAGCAAGGGAAGTAAAAAATTGGCAGTGTTTAAATTAAGAGAGACATTATTTTAGAATGGACTAAAAAGAAAATGGTAGAACAACAAACAGATACCTTAATGTGACTTCTGACTTGCAACTCACAACTCTATGATATCTTAAGCCAACTATAATGCGTATTTATAGAAACAATGGACATTTACACAACAGGAATCAGAAACCCTAATTCTTCTATAAGTAGGATGTTACTATCAAGAATGCAAGTGAAGAATCTGAGCTCGTGGCAAAGGGGCTGATCCAAATGCACAAACGGAGCCAGTTGATGAAGAATTGAGCCATCTGTAATGTTTTTCTAAAAGAAGTGTGTGAACTATGACCGACTACATGCATCACAAAAAAAACATGATGGTTCTAAAACTTGGAGTAACTATTTCTCTATACTTTAACAAGTTGGATACTACAATCGGAAAGAGTGAGATAATAAGTTGGTGTAAATCCTCATTCGTAAAAACCCAAAACTGATTCTTCTATAACGCTGAACTGAGATAAAGGACTTAGCAGTTGCCAGCACATTTTTCCACATGTTATTTAAGGAATGCATAAAAAAATAAGCTCGGCACACACGGTCCACACTCTTAGTCATAAGACTAACCCCAACCTCCAAGAATATTTGTCTATTACTATTTTATTTTTGAAAATTCCTGGAGTGACCCTCAATCTACTATGCAAAGTAACCCTGATGTATGTTAAAATAACCAGGTAATCTCATGAGGTAACCCTTTGGTCATTTTTATAAAGGCTGAAAACACAAGGGTTACATTTGACAAGTTCCTTCATATTTTGCAACAGGTATGAATCAATATACTGGGCAATTGGGCATACCATACTTTAGATCACCACAAAATTTAATGATAAAAGGTGAAGCCTGCAGCAGCTGAAAATAGATTCCTTGTGTGGTGCTCTATGGAAGCAATATATAAATGTCAGTATCAATAAGACAGCAAAATATAACATTACTATGAAGGATACAGTGTATACAAATACTTGCCAGTGGGACAATAAGTGAAAATTTTGACAGCAATAATGATGTCAATGGAAGTATGGCTGGAAGAGACCACATTTGATAAGACTTTCTAGACATCCTAGCATTAAGCAATGCCAATGCCATCTGAGAAGCACCATTGATGACTGTAAATAGGTAACACAATATTTAAATGTACATATGTACACATGGTCTGCAAGGGGTGAGATCACATACAAACTAGTCTTCCCATGCTAACCTACAAACTGTCACAAACTGTGCATCTTTACATTATTTGTACTGCATATTGAAGTTCAAAGTGTTGCATATTATTTGTACTGCATATTAAAGTTCAAAATGCTGCATATTATTTGTACTGCATGTTGAAATTCACAGTGTGCATCTCTATATTATTTGTACTGCATAATGAAGTTCAAAGTGTTGCATATTATTGAGTTTGTAGGTTAGTATTTTAAGCATGGTTTGTATTTGATCTCTTGTCTGGTCTGCAAGAGTGCGATGCATGGGTAAGTATCGTATGAGCACATAAAATAGTACAACAGTTGCTATTGAAAACAAAGCAAAGCAAACCAAAACAAAACAAAACATAACGAACAAACAAAAAAACAAACAAACAAAGAAACATAAAGGCAGACATGAAGCAAACAAACAAACACACAAACAAACAAACAAACAAACAAACAAACAAACAGACAACCAAACAAACAAACATAACGGCAGACATGAAGCATCACAAGGTTGGACTTGAAGATTGATTCTAGAAGAGTTTTTGGCAATGACAGGTGGAAAGCCTTTGTCGGAATGATATAAATTGAGTCAGTGACATGCACATTAAGTATGAAAAGAAATGCTCACCCCATGTTTTGCAGCACACATAACAATGTTTGGCCAAATCTCACTTTCCATCAATACGACTGCAGTTGGACTCCAGTAACAGAGAAAGGCATCAATGACTTGAGGAATGTCAAGTGGACAAAACTGATTTGTGTGGAAAATATTAACTAGTCAGATAAAATTCAATTTCACTACTTACTCAAGGAAGACAGTCCGGAAGCAATGAAGCATACTAAATTAAAGACTCAAAGTGTAATTTGGACAGAAAAAGGTTTACACCATGTTAGTCCAAAGACATACTTCCATATTACCTTGGATGTAAATATCACCATACAATTAGTAAATTAATATTCAATTAACATTAGGAATTTGAGCAGCAAAAGATTTCCAAGGCGTATTATCTTGACAGAAAAAAAGAAATAAAATTATCAATACCTGATATATAACATTGCTTGGAAGCAGGTTCTTTATTACTCCACTGCCAGAAGTAAAAAATAAAAAATAAAAACACGAGAACTTTATTTTTCTCGCACAGTCCAATTAAAAGATGTGTCCAGAAATGATATTAATTTATTTATGACTGCAGTGATCAACTAAAGACTAACCAAACAAAGGGGAAACCATTTCAAACAATTATAATATAAATCGACTATCTTCACAACTTGTAGCAAGCAACATAGTCATCTGAATTCACTTTACTTTAAATAAATATGACGTTGAGAAAGTTCTCAGTTATATAATTCTAAGTGAGACCATTAAGAGACCTCTCAAGCTATATCAATTGTGCTCTTGGAAAAAGACCTTTCTTTTACTCTGATTGGTACTGATGGCGATTTACTCTGGTACCCTTGGAGAATTATTGTATTCTGCTGAAAGTATGCCTGGTCGATCCAAGGCATGGTATATTACAGTCTTGCACTCACTACTTCACCTCACCACACAGTCATCTATGAGTAACTAGCCTCAATTGTTAACCAAATGTGACTGAATAACTTATCTCCTTTGAGTGTTTGAGGGAAAATGGTCCATATTATGGTATTTGTGCATTTGATGGGGTATTTTGAGAAAATTTGTGTGGAGAAAATTGTTGCACTCTTTTTAATACACACTAGTTTGTAGTCATCCCATCCTTAAAGGTAAACTCGGCTTACCTTTCATACCACCATAAGTAAAGGAGTTCCTTTCGGTTGTACATACAGATATGTGTTGGTTTTTTAAGTTTTTCTTTCCGATTGCATAAAATTCTATTGAGCACACTTTTATCTGTTTAGCTCTTCTAAAAATCAACGTGATCTCCAATTTCCTGTCATCCATCCTTTATATGAATAAATAACAGCTATGTTGTTGCTACGTACAATAGAGCAAAACCTCAATTTTTTAGTGGCAATGCTATATATATTCATCTGAAAACAGTCTCTCTGTGCTTTAGTATCGGGGTAAGGTTGCGTACATCCGACCCTCCCTTACCCCACCGTAGGTGGGAGCCTTTGCGGCACTGCGGTAATGATGATGATAAATGCTATATATATTGAATCAGTTGTATCATCTGATGAGAAGTCCATATCATATGAACTTAAGAGTTCATAGATTCTCCTTTATCTGGATAAGTGTACATCCAGTACCTCCTCACACAACTACAAAAATTTACATCATGTCAGTTGATCCTCCAGTAGAACTTGAATTTCATCTAATAACGTAGAAATTCAACTTCATTCTTGTAGATCTTAGTCACTGAATTCCAAGGTTACCATTGAAGGACAAAATAATCTTCACAGAATCACACAAACAGCTTCTTTACTCCTATGGGTAGGAACAGTTTGCGTACATCTCACCCACACCAGGTCCTATTTCCTAGTTGGACTCAATGGCTTTGTCTGGTTTGGTTTAAAACGTCAAAAGTGTATATATTGCACAAGTCCAACATCATACGCTACTTAAATTCCCAGAATCTTTAGACTATTCTGTTCAAATATGAAGTTTCAATAGAAAGAAAACTGATATCTAACCTGACCAATTATTATACGAAGTATATCTTAAATCAAGAAAAACATCTACCACTTAAAAAAATTAAGCTTTATTTTAATGTGAAAGGAGTCAGGACCAACACTACATGATCTATATACATACAAAAATGCAAAATGCAAATTCAAAATCAGTCTCACAATGCTGATGTTGTAGTACTTGTCATTAGAACAGTTACATCCGGCCTCCTCTCAATACAGCATTTGATCACTGAAATTGCGGCCAGACCCTCCCCTATTTTCAAAACCAGTGCAACAAACAGTGACATTATGGACAACCAACCCCATTAGGCATAACATACAAATATCAATAGTTTAGACAGGAGAAACTAAATCATACTATAAAATTCATTCAGTAGTTCAGTTTTTTCACTCTTAAACATTACTGCATTACCGAGATACGGATGATAATGGAGTGATCCCAACTTAGATTTTGAATGATTTTTTAAGATTTATTTAGGAATTAAGTTTTCCTCTCGTCGTTTAAATATTCGTGTCTGTTCCAGGAGGCAGGTATTCAATCCAACTCCACCAGTGAGGTATGTTTCAAAATGAGAGACTCGCCTAGAGAAACGGCATGGAACCAGACGAGAGGACCGGGGGGGCGAGGGAGAGAAGGACGGCCAAGACGCTCGCGCCACCGGGTGGGATGCTCGAGGCCGCGGCGCTTGCGCCACCGCAGATGAAGGTATAACAGCGGCGAAATGCCGTACGTCAGGGCTCTATAAATCCCATACAAGATTTCACCACGCTCCCTCGCCATTCACAAGCTCGGAGTGCTACTCTCCTGATTCGGTGACAACTGAGCTCAAGCCCAGGACAGGGTGTATCTTTGCTCACTTTTTAAAAACCAAAATAATTAAAATATTCTAAACTTTTGAGGTAAGTTGTACGTCAGTATTTTATAAATCCCAAACTTGCATATGTAATTTAAATACCTCAAATTTTATAAAAAAATGTTATTTTAGCACCATTGTCATATATTATTTCTTTAGAAAATATTACGGAGTAGTTTTTAGTGTTAATTTCATAAATTAAAATATTTTAGCATTCATGAAAATACAATTATCATTATAAACTGCCATTATAAAATAAATAATACTACCCCCACTCTATATAATTGCATCATTTTTAATTTTCTATTTTAAATTATGCAATTGACATCATAAATTCACATTTTTGAAAAAAATTATATATGGTCATGGTGTTAAAATAACATTTTATATAAAATTTTGGGTATTTAAATTACATATGAAAAATACATATGAAAATAATTAAAATATAAAAATTCTAGTTTGAGGTGTTTATCTCACACTTCTTCAAATTTTGGGGTATTTTAATTAATTTTCCACTTTTGAAAATTGCTAGAACTTCGGACATGTTTTTTTTTAGAACAGAACTTCGGGCATTGTAAAGTATCCAAATATCCAATAATGAGTTTTTTTTTTGTTAATGTATGGACTTATGTATTGTGCACATTTTTAGTTGACAAAAAAAGTATATCAACTTAATATGAATACTTGAAAAAGACATATATTCCGTATATTTTTAATCGAGGAAATGATCAATTAAGTATATCAACTTATGTATGATGTGACGTAAATAATACATTTTATTATATATTTTCAAGTAAATAAACTCTTTTTTAGTGATAGTTGAGTATAATGTTGACTTTAACGTTAAAAACATTGTGTCACAATTAATAGCAGTTTGTTTGGCATAGGCCAATGTTACCATCTTGAACTTGCCCCTCCAATTTGGAATCGTTGTCGCCCCTTGGCGAATGAAAAGAACTCTCTTTAAGCCTCTTGTACTGTATTTTCTTTCGCCGACCAATCAACTAGCAAAGAGATTTTCAAATTAAGACTAAGACATAGCATTCTGGATCAATTGGTGGAAAAATCGGTCAAGGGTAAGTCGACCAAGGTTCTTGCATTGACCTTCACAAAGTCGATCAAGGTTATGACATTGACCTTTAGGAAATCAACCAAGTTTTGACATCGACCTTCAGGAAGTCGACCAAAGTTCTGACATCGTCCTTGAAAAAGTCGAAGGGGAGTCGTCGATGATGGTAGGTCAACCTTCAGGAAGTCAACCAAGAAGGGGGCATCGTACACCCGTTTACTCTTACTCGACATTTCGTTTGTCAACTTAGTCATATTAATGTGTTAATCTAGTTTTTGTACTCAATTAACACCAAAGGACCGAGTTTATGTACATAGAAATGTCATATGCAATATAGTGTACTCTTTTATTCCACTTTAAACAAGTTGATATACTCAATTGACCATTTTATCATTTTAATCTTTGCAAATATGTCATATTTGTTTTAAATCCTACAATTTTTTTTTCATTTTTTGTAATGTGCACTACAAGATATTGCCATCACTCCAAAATCACAACCCTACCATGAAATCCTAGCCGCTCTGACATGTTGTTAATCTTTATTGTGTGGGTATCAAACACTCTATACAATATAATATTAAACACTAATATCTTAAAAGCTTATAATCTTCAATGAAGGTTAGGGCATTTTAGGACTGAAAATTGTGTTGGTGTAATCAGTTGCTTTACTCGATTGTACATTGTGTTTTGCCTTTGGTACTCTGTGAAAGCTTAAAAATTTCCGTTTAACTCCCGTTTTGCCCTGGGTCATTGTAATTTCGCACACCTGTCTGGCTTCCCTTGAACCTGAATGTCGCACACCTGGACCTCCCTCTCTATAACGCTCCTAAGGTCGGATTCGCGCATACTTGACGGAACGAGGCTGACTCCAGTCGTTTCACCCTTCTTACGGCAACTGTCCAGTTTCTTTTCGCGCAGATTCTCCGAAATATATGCTCAGCTATGCTCATCTTATTCATTATTGTGTTATTCAATTCGATTTCATTGATTGCATCAATTATGGATGATGTAGGGCTCAATTATCCAGACTTACATCCTTCAGCGGATATAAATGGGTTTGTGCGCAGTCTTGGAAGAACTTCCGAGCTCCCACCTTTGCACTGTAAGCATCGCCTCTCCCTGCTTTGTTTACCCGTTTCTGTTGCTTTTGAGTTCCTTTAGCTTCGTCACATGATAATTCATCTCCTTGCGGATTCTTCCTAAGTGCCTATTCTGTTTGGCTATGAATGCCCCCCTCCCCTTGTTTGATTACATGTGAGTGGCATAAAGTTCCTTGCCTCCGTGAGCATTGGCATGATAGGGAATTAAATTCGTGGAATTGAGCATTGACATGGGATTATTGGCTTGTGGTGGAAAGTATTACTTATGTGATCAGTACAGTATTGGCCTAAAGGGGATTATTTAGAGGATTATTTAGCATGTAATGTTATTGGTTTGTTAGTAACAGTCTTATTGGCGTAAAAAAAGTTATTCATTCCGGGAGAAATGAGTCTTTTGGCATAGAAAAATTAATGTTATTGGTTTGTTATACAGCCTTAGTGTTTGAAAGTGAATATTCATAGAAAAAAAGGCAAGCAGAGACACTGTATGTGTTTGAACTGAAGGTCATATTAGTCTAGCAGAAAATCACTTGAAATTTACATGAAATAAATAAAAAGCCAAACTTTATGCTTCTGCGGTTATGGTTTTAACTTTTCCTGCCAGAAAACTGGCCACCTGGGTATTGTTAGGGAAGAATAACATTGATGACTGAATTTGAAAAAAAAAAAAAGGATAGCCATTTTGTCATATATCAGAAAGATTGAAATTTCCCGCCACCATTACATAGATTGGGCTATGAGTAAATCTAAAAGAAAGAATGGCCGTTTTGTCATATTTCAGAAAGAAAATATACTTTTAATCTGTTTGGAAAGTTTTAAAAGAAGTAGAAATCTATCATGGGTGCAAATAAGGCCTTGGTAATGGCTATAGAAGAGCTATTTTAAGTTATCTATTTGGGAGTAGTGACTTTAGGTGACTACTTATAATTTCTAAAAGTTACTGCTGCTCTATTCAAAAACTACTCATACTTGCTATCTTATATAGTACAATCACAGACAAAGACACAGTGGTAGTTTATGTGTTTCTTTTGAAATACAAAATGTATTAGGATATTAATAAGCTATATCTTCCTTGCTTGCAAATGCTAATGTATCATTTACCGAGTAGTATATCATAAAAGAGGTTAGCTACCATATGAGAACTATTGAATTGATGAACCTCATAAATATTATTAACTCAATATATTCCAAACATTGATATAATATGTGTTGAATATAATGAATTGATAAGAAAGTTTTACGCTTTACTGCATCAATATATGATGCTGATCGTCACTCCTGCCTTGGAACAAACATAAACTCATCTTTTAGCCTTACAAACACTCCCAGAAATAATGTCAATCAAGGGCTTTCCCTTTGTTGAAAATTTGGACAGAACAAAGGAGACTGTGGTGAAAAGTTGGAGGGGGAGGGGAATCTTAGGCTTTCAGACCTGGTGTGGCAGTGGGAGGCCCTAGCCACGTTGATAAATGATACATTGAGATCAAATAATTCCAATTTGATAGCATCCTTGGCCTGAAAAGAAAAACTAAAGAGTAGGAATATGTTTTCTGAGAGAAGCAATAGGTGAGAATAGGGTGTAAAAGCTTGCCTCTTTACCTATAGAGTTCACAGATTTTAATTGTTTTCATAAATCATAAAGTTGAAGAATTATTTACTCGAAGTAACAAAAAAAATATTCCCACAAGTTTGCTTTTCAAGGCAATATGTTTAACTTTACATGAAATAAATAAAAAGCTAGGATTTGTGGTCCTGCGCTTATGGTTTTTACTTTTCCTCCCAGAAAACTGGCTACCTGTATTTTTACTTGGATTTGTTTTGTAAAAGTTACTACTGCACTATTTGAAAACTACTTAAGGAGTGTTTGGGGTTGCTTAAAAAAAACACTCTTCAGCTTTTGGCTTAAAAAAAGTTGAAAATAGTGTTTTCAAATGACAGCTTCTGCTTAAATTAATCACTTAAAAGCTAAAAGCTGAAAGCAGGTAGAAGGGTGCTTTAAACTGCTTCTCACTTTTTCTATTACACAAAAAGTACTTATTTTACCAAACACTACCAACTTTTACTTTTTCAGAATCACTTTTTTCTCAAACACTACCAACTTTTACTATTAATCACTTTTCCCAAAATCACTTTAAAAAATCACTTTTTAAAAGTTGAAGCAATTGCAAACACTCCCTTATACTTGCTTGCTTATATAGTACAAAAAACACAGACAAAGAGCACAATGGTAGTTTATCGATGGTGATTTAAGCCAAATCCTGATTTCGTTTTGCTTCTCCTGATCGTCGAGCCTGATCGACTCGACTCTTTTCCCTGCCCCCCAGCCTCTCACTTCGTTTCGTTCTTCTTATGTGCCGTCGCTTGAATGAAGACACCCGATCGGCCCGACTTTCCCAAATGCCCCCCCCCCCCAATATTAGCCCTGTTAGCATTTGATATATTAGCTTTTTGTATTGTTGTTTCCTTTTCTTTTGTTTTGCTTATGTTTGTCCCACACCGTAAGTGTTTACTCCCTCCCCCTCTTTCCTTATCTATAAATAGGGCCTTTGGCCTCCAAATAATGTAAGCTTCCATTTTATGATATGATATTTATTCTATTAAATATTTCTGGGGGTGATCTTCATCGCTCTACATGCTCTCTAGTGTTTTCCTCGTTGCTATTCAGGTTTTCCGCTGCTTCCGCTTCTCTTGTATTTTTGCTTAATTATTGTGTGCAATGGCGGGTGGTGATGACTCGTTGCAGTCAATTGGTGTTCGTCTTGATGGGAAGAATTTTGGGTATTGGAGTTATGTCATGATAAATTTCTTGAAGGGTAAGGGGCTA